AGAAAATCCGCCAACTTGTACCTCTAAAGCTCACTAATTAACTAATTATATCTTGCTTAGCAGGGAGCAGGAACTTTCTGAGTCTCTGCAAGTTGCCTGGCAACTGCACTCAGACAAGAATAATACGATTATTTCCCAAATGTCTGAACTGTGCCTCTGGTTCAGCTATGCTGCATCATACCCCATAAGCAGTATTTCTCAACAATTTCTTGAATGTTATCCGGTAGAGCCAATTAAATCCCCATGCTCCTGTTCCAAGTTCTCTGTAACTTCTCATGGGACAGCACATTTCAATTTTCCAAACAATTGCTCTCTGGCTCTGCAGTACTGCCCCCTGGAACTGCTTACATGGCTACTGTACATGTGTTCTTCCGTTGCTTTATTTTAATTCATGATTTCTATTTGGTATGATTGTTCAATTCATACCAAAGGAGGGTTGTGAAACTGTAAATCAATCCCTATGTGCATACTCGTACTTTGGTAATGGGTCCAGGAATCTGATTTCATATTTGTAAGAGTACCACCATTTTCAGATTCTTTAAACATGTACACAGGTTATACACAAACCTGTCTCTGAAGACAGATTTCTAGATTACTTGACACATTCACAAATAAAAGAAATCAGGGCTGTGCCATGAATCAATTTTATATTGCTATTGTGATATGAGGCTGGATATTGTATTCAATTTTGGAAATATCGTAATAAGATCTAGTCTTTCTCTACTTTCAAAGGCTGCATTACAGTAAGTAATGTACTTTTCTGAAACTATAGACTGTTTTAGATGCTCTATTATTAGCCTTTAGGCGTTTGGTCATTATAGCCACATCACAGAGTGTTTCCCCTACCATTGTCTTGGAGGGGCGCTGCGCCCTGCCAACGGAGCCCCGCACCCCCCCTGAAATTCAAGGTGTTAAAAAAAAAGAAAAAAAAAGACTATAATATTTTTTTTGATATATATCACCAAATTGCAACTAATCTATATCTACTGTCACTTTTCACATTGAACATGTGCTCTTTTATTAAATAAACCAAACGCTTTCATTTTAAGTTGTGTGTTTAGTGTTTTTGACCCTAAGAAACACTGATGCATTGATCAATAACAAAAATCCACAGCTCCTCTCTCTGCCCCAGTGGATTTAAAAAAAGAAATATCCCAAAGATACCCCCCCCCCCCCCCCCCCCCCCCCCCCCCCCTCTAATTCTACCAGATCAAATCAACCAAATCCTACTGGCAAAAATGTGTGGCACTTTAATAGATGCAGTAGGCAGGCGGGTCAAACATCACAGAGATGTGTGGGTGGTGTGCCCCTTGGCGTATCTGTGGTGTATCAGGAGGTGTCATGAGGGTAGAGCCTCAGTAGGGCTAGACAAATGTACTGAAGTAGATCAAGATGGGTGTTTTTGTTTTTAGATGTTTAAAGAACGAGCCTGGCTCTATCCTCAGCTCTTTCTGGTGGAAATTGTGTTCACTCAGATTAATTCATGCGTGGGGGGGACATTGTCTTTCTGAATCGCCTCACGATGTTGGTCCAACCTGTATCCGTCTGTCTGTATCAGGCCGTTGTTTTCTGGTGTCCTGTCTGGTGTTCATGGCTGCCCATCACTCTGTCAATTCTCTGTGTTTGACTTTCTCTGATTTGTCCATCTGTCCATGTCTACATCCTCCTGACGGTCTGTCCGCCTGGGTAACTGTCTAACTGCCTCTAAATCGGTCTGTCGGTGTGCCCTTGTGTTAACTGCAATGAAAGGCGGTATGACATTTAAAACAGCAGGATGGGCTGCTGCTAGCCCAGTGTGCCTAAATGTCAGCTTAGCCCACTGGTTATGGAGCCTCCAACCTTTCCCACCCCCCCCCCCCCTCCTGCTCCCTCTTTCTTTTGTGTTTTTGTTGTAACCCACCTTCGACCACCTGTGTTTTCTCGCTAACCCCTCACCCCAATTCTTCGAAACCTTTTCACTCCTATATTTACCCAATACTTCTAATACAGCCCAGGAACATTTCTTATGTCTACTAGGGGTGTTGAAATTAATCGTTTTTACGATGCATCGTGATGCGGACGTGGACGATTCTGCATCGATGCAGGGACAGAACATAATCGATTATAGCGTATTAACGTTACTCCCTGATCTTCCGGCCGCGGCTGGACAATAACGTTTTTTTGTCACACGAATATGAAATCGGTCGGTGACGCAGAGATCAGGGAACAGAAGTAACAGCGGCACAACGACTTCAAACACGGAGCAGTCTGCTTTATCCACCAACACAAGAACACCAGAACCAACAAGCAGAATGACCCGCTCTGAATCAGGCCGTGTCGCTGCGGCTCAGAGACACACATCGATTTATGTTTTTGAAAAACACTCGTTATCGTCATGTCAGGTTTTTTTTTATTTAATCAAGTCTTGGATTGCAGAGCATGAACGTCCTGTTGCTATTTTCAGACGATAAATACGTGTGTAAAGTTTGTGAAGGCAGGAGGAAAAAGCTTCCACGATCACCGTCTCCTCTGTTCCTCCAAACCCCGCCCCCTCCCTGAAAATAACGAGTGACAGGCTGATAGGAACCTGATAGAAACTTTATTATTCACTTAATCACTGATTGAGATATGATGAAGCTAACTTAATCTCATACATTCATGGGATTTATTTAACATCAAGACAGAGAATAAGTGTGCACCCACATGCAGTATTTTTGTTTTGATATGCTATTGTAAATACTCCTGTTGTCTGCTGTGTTCAGACTCAAGTCATGTTTGTGATCACACCCTACCCACTCCCCCTCCGTGACGGAGTGAACTCCGTGGCGGAGTGACACTCGCAGCTTAACGAGGATCCCTCCTTTCAGGTTGAGGGAGTAAATACAGCGGCAAGCTTTGGAACAAACTCCCCTCTCTCCGGCAGAAACAGGAAATGCCGTAACTGTATGTAACAACGGTTTCAAATCAGCTTCTCTTGGACAAAAATAAAATGAATAACTAAAATAAAACTTCAAACATCTTTAATTGTGTCTTTTAGTTTTAAACCTGATGTTTATAAGCTTCTTAGTTTTTGCAACAGTCTGTAAATATATAAAACTTTATAATAAAATGCATAGGTATGACTAAACACAGGTATGACCCTAAGTTAAACAAATATGAGGTTATCATGAGGTTATCATGAGGTTGTTAACATTGCAATTTATCAGTGAATGTTTGCAGGAACTGTTTGTAAACAGCTTGTTTGCTGACGGACACACACAGCGTTGAGTCCGGTCAGGTAGGGCAGCAGGTGAAGTCAGCACCGATGCAGACTCGCTGTTTGAGGGCTTGATAGCCCACTCCGCCTCCACACTCGTTGGTTTGGAACAGCACTTAATGTGGCGGACCCTCCGCGCGAACGGAGGGGTAGTGTGTAGGGGGTAGTGTGTAGGGGGTAGTGTGTAGGGGGTAGTGTGTAGGGGGTAGTGTGTAGGGGGTGGATAGGAATTGGGCCAAAGTGTCCTTTTTTGAGCAGAAAACTGTTGCTAGAAGCTGCAGCTACACTGCAGAAGCATTAGTTTTTGAGGATGGAACAATTTCACACACAGATATAGGGAGGCTAGACCTATACAATTGGTTTATTTTGGTTTATAATTAATGTCAAGACATTTATGTTATTGATTTCTGACGCACTTTCTAAATAATAAAAAAGGGAGTTCATATTTATCTTATCGTATTCATTGATGAAAAAGAAGCCAAGTGCAGTAATATAGGAAATTGAGGATGCAACACATTGTTAGGAATCGTGATGCATCGGGATATCGAATTGAATCGTTGACAGGATAATCGAATCGTGAGACCAGTGAAGATGCACAGCCCTAATGTCTACATGAATACCTTTTTTAATTTAACATTTCAGTTGTGTGTATATATCTTCAATCAGGTTATTATGATACAGTATCTCCAGGGCATGCAGGTTACAGAATATGTAGATTAATGCACATTAGTGGAACCAAAATGTACAACTGTGGGCTCTCCAATGTTGTATGGGATGTAAATGGTAACACTTTGGAAATGCTAACACACATCTTTCACCATGACCTAGATGCGGTGATCACCAGGAATAGGAAAGAAAACAATCACATTTTGTATTTTAAACTTTCATATAAAGAGAGTTGTGTTTCCGAGTCTTTAGTATTTGGGAAAGGTTCACACAGTTTAATACAGACATGTTTGAAATATTCCTTGACTGAAAATAGTTTAGTTGCTGGTGGTCAAAATTCTGCCTCAGCCCCACACCAAGGATTCTATCTACCTTTGATCGTTGCACCACTGTGTTCACAATGATAATAACAAAAGTGTCCTTATGCATTTAGCTTTCTTTTCCCTGCACAACTTCACTCGGGTTATGAATTGAACTTCTGGTTACCGTTACACCCAAGTCCCCAGGAAGTGCACCAGGTGTTGAAGCTAATTTCCTTATTGGCCAAACGATGGTACTACAACTTCTGCGCCAGTCACATGATATCATTGAGCCCAAGAATACTTTTTACCATACTAACTTTAAGATATGTTAGTGAAACAGCGTATATATGTACATATTTTTTTAGGAACATTTACTTTGCTAAAGCTGAATCAAGACTTATTTTCCCACTCCATTAATAGGTTATTCATAATTGTTTTAACATTTGAGCCCGGCTGTGACGCAGCCGGTTGGAGGTGGGGCTTAAGGAAAACCCAGGTGCGCATCCTCTTTAGGCCCAGAGTCCTTAAACATCCAAGTACACATCCTGGTATTTTTGTTCTCAGTCATGCTATTTTGGCTTCATGCCCTGCCTCCAGCGCTGTATCCAGTTCTCTTTATACATGGAGATAAATAAATAATTTATTATTATTACTTATTTAATTCTCTATGTTTTTATGTTTCCTATTTATGTCTGTATAAGGAGTATGAAAGCACTGTTGTTCCCGGTCTGTTCACAAAAGCAATGCCAATCCTTATCAACCTATTGACTCAATTTTATGTATTTGTGCTTGTTTAGGATCATCCATGAGGACGGTTTCTCTGGTGACGACGTAAAGCAGTACAAGCCTGTCGTTTACAGCAACACCATCCAATCTCTGGCAGCCATCGTCCGTGCCATGGATACACTGGGCCTGGAGTACGGAGACAAAGAGCGGAAGGTCAGCACTCGCCCCCCCATACACACACGCACACACACACACACACTAGGGCTGTGCGATTATGGCAAAAATCATAATCACGATTATTTTGGTCAATAATTGATATCACGATTATTAAATACGATTATTCATTGACTTTGAAAACATCAATTTATTGAACTTTTAAATACAAATAATAATTTGAACAGTATCTGTTTGAACTGTTGATTTCCCTGAACGTATAATTCAACTGAAAAACCAATACAAAAATAAATAAATGATACATTTATATCTACATTTAAATAAATAATATCAAAATAATAAATACCAATAAACAAGATCAACAAATATTTTGGAGCGCACTTCAACAAGCTACTAAACATATATAAATATGATAAATACAAATTAATTAGATCAAATATGTTGCAGTGCACTGTCACAACCTAGCAAAGCAAAATAATCGATTATGTTGTTTTCGTAATTGTGGCAGGCCAAAATCGTAATTGCGATTAAAATACGATTAATTGCACAGCCCTCACACACACACACACACACACACACACACACACACACACACTCCAAACACATCCACCAGATGCATACAGTGGAATCACATACCCACAGCAACATTTACACTTACATTTGGAAATTCTCTCACCAACAGTGTGTTGTGTAGTATTCAAAACACTGAAATGTAGCACAGAAACAAAAGAAAGCTGTAAACTGAACAAGGCTAAATGGAGATATCAATCTGAATGAACCATTGAGCTTATTCGTGAAATGCTCAGCTTTAGTCTTTAATACGGCAAGTTGCCACTGCAAAATTGCCATGACAAGTCATGTAGTTCAGGGAGAGTTCACAGTGTGCCTTACAGAGTTACTGTCTTTCAACCAAAGCAACAGGAGTCCAGCTCTTGTGTCGGACCTGATAAAGTATCTCAGGGCAAGACACCAATCTCTACCAGCTTAAGGTCACAGCTCCGACCTCTCAGGAAGAAATACGCCTCCATGTCGGGATGGACAGAATAAATCACATTATTTTGATTTGGTCACTAATTGTCAATCTGTCATGGAAACATGTCGTTGTTACTGTGCCTGCCTGAGCCTGTGCACAGTTTTTCTGTAAATGTAGAATACATCTAGATTTAATAGCAGCTTTTTTTCTAGAGCTGATGATGGTAAATAAGCAAAATAATCATTTTTTACATACACTGATAAATAATGCATCCAAAATAAAATGACATAAGAAGGAAAAATAATCTAGGTTATGCCAGTAACTTGCTTACAGATTTGGTTTTAACATTTATTAGAAGACCTACTGGGGCTGCAGTGTAGCAATGTGGACTACACACACACTCAGTCACCTTGCCAAAGGCTCACTTGCAGCTCATAATCCAAGGACAGATTGATGTTCATGGTTAATGCACAACTTCCCCATGCACTGTATACAGTTTGGACTGGTTAAACATTGCCTATTCAGCAGCTGTGTCTGTCAGCAGAGTTGGGCATATTATGCTATCAGCTGGAGAATTAGTTTGGGTATCATCTATAACGGGTGCGTAACATAATTTCTCAGGCAGAAAATACAATCCAAAACAAACAGCTGCATATTTACAGTGCTTTATAGAGCATTTAATGAGAATCTACATTGGGATAGTAGAGAGAAGGAAATAATGACAATGACAATGTCTCTTGTGTTTAGTTGAGAAATAAAAAGAAAGTATTTTCTTTAAGTTATTTGTCATGTAAAAATATTTTCTTTCTCCTTGGCTCTGATGACCATCTTCAACTTTTTGTCAAAAGTGGTGTCGGCTTGTATTTACGTTTTTATTCATATACAGGGCATGATGGGAAATACTGCCTGTCATGCTAGTTCCATGTAGGCTCATTGCAATCTAAGTTAGTCCTGCCTCTAAGTCCTTTAAATCCTAAAGCACACAAGTTTAATAAATTATACGCTAATTGAAGGATTATGAGTGTAATCCACAGAAGAGAATCAGTTTTCACTCAATGGTAGGAGGTTAATTAGAAATGTCACGATCATGCAGACAGTGTTGCGTTATACATTACATTACATGTTAGACGCTTTTATCCAAAGCGACTTACATACTCAATACTGTGGGCAATCCCCACAGGAGCAATTTGGGGTGAAGTGTCTTGCCCAGGGACACAACGACATGCTGACTGCAGTGGGGTTTGAACCTGTGACCATCTCATCCCTATACCAAGGCTCTATCCACTGCGCCAAACGCCTCTATACCAACCTCTCCTGTCCGGTGCCTCAGGTTTTAGCTCCCAAAACTATCACGTTTCAAACCATTAAGAGTTGTCAAGATGTATATTACATACGTACTAGGGGTGTAACGGTTCACAAACATTTCGGTTCGGTACGTTTTCGGTACAGCTGAAAAAATGATCACAAAACATAAAATATTTTATGGGGGTTTTTAATTATTATTAAACTGTGAATAATGTATTCACTCAAATAAATACAAAATATAATAAAATAAACATTAAGGTGCAGCATTTCGATGAACTGAAATAATCTGTACTTGAACTGTACTGTACTAGTACTCACCTAAGCAGCCAGCTTGACATTAGGCTTGTCATTGTATTTTCATGTTTTTTTTTAAGAAAGATGAACTTGTCCACATTGCTTGCCGAAAGGGCAGATCTGCTGGCACTAACAATCTCTCCTGCTGTGGAGAACACCCTCTCGCTAGGGACAGAGGTAGCAGATACAGCCAGGTAGCGCTTTGCTAACATGTTTGTAATAGCTTTGGCTCTGTCTGAACTTTTTGCGAGTGGTGGAGGCTTAAATGCTAGTGGGAGTTGGGTTTGCACTTCAGTCTTTTTTCTTTTGGTACCGGTGATATTCACGTTCGGGTGATGCCTTTTCAAATGAGTGTGCAAGTTTGAAGTATTGCCAGCCGCGTAACCTATTTTAGTTGAACAATGCTGACAAACAGCTTTGGTTCGGTCCACCTGTCTTTGTCCGTCATCCTTGTACGTAACTGCAAAACCAAAATGTTCCCAAACCGGAGACTTTAATGGTGCTGAAGGATTTTCGAGCTCAACTTTATCTGCGTTCGCCATTTTGCCATTTTTCCATTTCCTCAAATTACTGACTACATTTTAACGCATCCCTGTGACCAGCTCTCATAGTATGCCTCTCGTCCAATGAAATGACTTGGTCGCTCTATGACGCGTTGAACCCAATGTGAGCATTACACTGGGTGTTTCTCAATGTCGAGGAAGGCTGCTCCAGAGCCACTATTTCTACGTCATCGAGTGCCGCCGAAGGACTGTTCCAATGTCCAGCATACCTGTTAGCCTGTTCCACAATTCTTCGTTTTCCGAGGCTAGGAAGGATGCTTGCCTCGCTTCTGAAACAAGTGACCCGGAAGACATGTGCTACCAAGCAACCGTCCTCGACATTGAGAAACACCCACTGAATGCTGCGACGCAGCACCTGAGATTACTTCCAAAAAGTTGTTCACGTTCTCAATTTTTTACGTTTAACGTTATATTCGTTCGGTACACTTCGGTACAGACGTGTACCGAACCGAAGGGCCCATACCGAATATTTTCGGTACGAATACGTATACCTAATACGCACCAAATGGATTACAGTGCAAATAGACTTCGCAAAAAACTGCAAATTGACTGAGAAATCTCAAATGGTGCATTAAGATTACATCTAAACTGGACCTTTATAATTCAAGGTACTTTAGATACAAGCACTGATGTTCTTATAAAGCAATGCAATTGGGACAAATGTTTGCCGCCATCACATGACAACCCCCTCTCTCCTTCCCTGTGGGAAAAACTACATTATGTATGTTTTGTCACACCTATTTATTTAATTAATTGCCTTCATACTAGAAATCCTCTTTGAAAACCCGCACAACAATTGAAGCAACGTGGGTTATCGACAAATGTAATGATGTCATTGGAAACATCGAGTTTAAATCTCTCTAATCTTAAATCATACAACTGTAGAGCTGTAGTATGCAACATAGTTGACAATGATGTGTCATTTAGATTGGGAGTAATAGCATAACTATGATGAAGATAATAAGGGCTGACTTATCAGTCAATGTTGGCCTCTAATGGTGCGTTTCCACTACACGGCCTCGCTCGGCCTCGCTCGGTATGGCTAGGCCTCGTTAGGACTGGCTCACTTTATGGCGCATTTCCATTACAGTTTAGGAACTGGGGTAGTATCTATAGTAACGCAGTGTAGGCGGAGCCGTGACGTCATCTTCAATGAGTCATCAACAACACAGCCGTTAGCTGTTAGCACTCAGAGCTCACAGCTCCTCATATATGTTCAGAAACTAGACAAAAGTTAAACAAGTACAAACCACAGACTGTCTGTGTCATGGCGAATACAGTCGCTGCTTTATTTATGTCTGTATAGGCCGTTGTTGTGAGTGTGGACGGTCGGAGCATATACTGCGTTAGCTTAGCCAATCTCCATTTAGAAAACAACGCATTTTAAAAGGTTTTTCGCCTGCCGTCTGTCTGCAGACTTGACAAAGCATTAATTCATGGTTTTTACTAACCGGTATCAGTATGTTGTTACTTCGGCATCATTTTGAAACGTGTATTACAATTAAATCACGGTCAAATATGTCCATCTTGTTGTAGTTGTAGCCCCCTTGCCAGCGATTCTCTCTCTAGTTTAGCATACTCAGCCCGACTCAGCCTCGTTGTCTCTGGCCCTAGACCCACGATTTTATGAGGCCAGAAAAACTGTGAATTAGGACCCGCCGGCCGGTACTAGGCCAAGTGGAAACGCAACCAAAAACGGGCCGCTGACGTCACAGCCCTCTTAAACCGTGCTCCGCGCTGTAGTGGAAACGCGATTACTCGCCCTGTTTTTCTTTGGTAGCAACCTTTCTGAGTAAAAGATGCTTTAAATGTATTATTTTCTGTAGCCTATTTCTACTCTGACACACACACACACTCACACTCACACTCACTCTTAGCCTTAACCTTATCCAAAGGCACAGTGT